CGGCACATGCTGGATACATTACCTTTTCCTTAGAATCTGTCCGTGCCCTTATCATTTCCCATAGTTAGCATTATTGGGTAGTCATCTCTTTTAACCCGATTACCAGCAAGATCATTCCCTCCACAATTAGATCAACGCCAGGAATTGGTAATTTAGGACTAACGCCTACTACGCTTTTGCCTTTAATAAAATCACACTCAAGGTTTATTTCCCTCATGGGTACAGTCTGGAAATCTCCAGTGACTCCCTGTATAATTATTACCTCCCAGTCTCTGCAGACTGTATATATTGTAAAATACTCTCTAATAGTAAAGATTGGGATGCTCCTGTATCCTTCAAAATTTGAATATCATGCCACAAACCATTTGCACACTTTAATTTCCCATTTGATATAAAATATCAAAAAGTATTTATAGCAAGTGTTTTTTTCCCCATTATTTTTGGTACACATTTGGTTTTCCTCCCATCACACACTGTGAGGGCCATAGGCCCTCTTTTTCTGGGGTGAAGAAACCATCAACTCTTTACAACATGTCCCTTTCTATGCCAGTAGAAACATTGTTTCATCTATGGGTGAGGTTTATTACTGGTGTGATACTCTTTGGGTTTCACATTACTTCAAAGACAAGCAATAATGACAGTAAAGACATCAATAATAACAACCAAACTTTCAAACACTCGCTTAAGAAACAAGAAGTTGCAACATTGAAAGAAGTGGGGAAACAAATTATGAGAGGAGGGTGCATAAGAAAAAAGTAGAAAAAGAATTTAGTAAATATCAAAAGATTTACAGGGCGAGATATAATGACGTGTTGTCGTAAATATCTTCTCACTTGATTAGTAAGATCTAAAGCGAGAACATGTCGGGATAAAATACTCTAGGGCTTCAATTGCTCTAAGAACATTATACAGCAGCTGTTAGTAAAGCTTTTCCTAAGGTATTTTCTCCGCGATAGGTGGAAACAACTATAGGCAGTAGTCAAACTGTAGATATACTACCTCTGAATTCTGGGGTAAATAGCAATTTAGTGACACCTATCTGGAATTCATTATAAAGGGGGTAAATGGGCAGCAGGTGGACTTTTCATCTATCACTTTGGAGCTGTCTATTGATCTGACTGAAGAAGATGGAACAACCCTCTATAGACGCAGCTAAAAGTGTATCTATTGTGAATGGATTATCTCAAACACTATTTAAATCCGCTATTCTGTATTTTAACGAGACTGTGGTTGAAAGCAGTTCCTTATTCTCCTTCTGGCCCTACATAAAGCTGTTATCTTTAATATCTGGATGTAAAGCTGCGCGATATGATAAACTCTCACAGTTTTTTAATTGTGATGATCGTTGTAAAATTGAAGCCGCATATTTCACTAGTGCAAAACCAGAGCAGAAGCAGCTGATGGCTGATATGAAAACGACTGGGACAAACACATGCTTTAAACTCATGTTAGATGCTACATCTGTTAGTGAATACGTAATGGACAATGTAAACGTTAGACTGGAACTACAACCGGAAAAATGGGTTGAACTTAGCGATAATGAACAAGCCAATTTTAAATACAATATTAAGTCTGCACGATTATGGATAGATAGTGATACCCTACCCTGAGGGGATTAATAGTGATTAAGGCTATGGTACAAAACAACTCCCCGATCACTTATACTTTCAATAAAACTTTATATAAAACATACATACTAGATACTGGTCAGCACTCGATAACTTTGGACCAACCATGGGGGTACAGTAATACCAGAGTATCTTTACATGCTGATTCTCAATGTGGATCAGTGTCAGGGGTGTATAATTGCAACTCGCTTTATTTGGAAATCTGTGGGTTAAGTAAAGTATTAATATCACAGAATAGCACTAATATCATTAATACAGTGTACGAGTTCCCTCATAACTGCGAAACTATATTATACAGCATTACAAGCCTTAGGGTTTGATAATGATAATGCATTGAGTCATGATACATATGTGAAGTGGTGCAATAATACTAGCCTTTAATTTACAAGTAGAGGATATAGATGACATGATACCCCTTGAAAAGATAGGTAGTCTGAGGATTGCATTCTTATTTAAACGGAGTAGCACGAAATAAGGTCATAGTACTTTACGGTACTACAACTAGAGTAATCAGCATTAATGCAGAGCGTCGAGTTATTTGTGATACAAGAGGATAAGTATAGGATAATTTATAAGAGGATAATTTAGATATGAATAGATATGAATAATTATTCATATCTAATAAGTATATTAGATATGAATAATTTAGAAATAAATGAAGTGCTTAGGTTTACTTTAGGAGAGAAGGTGGATTATTTGGGGTGTTTCCTAGCAAACGATGTAAGGAAAATCCTGAAAAAGAAACATAGAAGACTTGGAGCGTTCATAATGAATATACTAGACTCAGGATCATCTAATAAAATGAGGCATTAGATAACATTCTATGTTCATAATAGAGCTAAAGATCAGACGAAGATAGTTATTCTAGACAGTTATGCTAATCCTAGAATAGAATCGTATTCAAGATACTTTGAAAAGTTTATGTCTTACTTTCAAGATTATGAGTTTTATATTATAAAGACCAGAATGCAGAGTCTGAACAGTTAGTTTTGCGGGAA